ATTTAAAACAAGCTGCTTCATTGGGAGCTGGGACTTCTCTCCACATTGGAGCTCCCCATGGCTTAAATGCAATAACAGCATTTATGTTTGCATGGCAAGTAAGCTGGGGAGTAAAAGTCAGATGCTGGCTCCTTAGAGGCTGAGGTGCATGTATAATGGAGGGGGGCTGTTGCTGGTTTGTTGGCTGTGAGTTTTTTCATTTGTTGGGGTGGTTTTTTTTTTTAAGCTACTGCCATGCGGAGCTGGAGGGATGGCCCCTGGCAGCCCTGGGCTGAGGGGGGGTGGACCTGTGGCATTTACTGGGTCAGCAGCTCCCCCAAGGAACTGGCCGAAGCCCTTTTTCAGGGGGCTTTCTTCCCCCCCCAAGCACACCTATGTGCAGCCCAAATGTGTAACCATAAAACCTCTTGGCACCTACGTGGTGCTCCTCAGGGTAGAATTTCAAAGTGCTGCGTGTGTGCAGGCGGGTGGCCGGGGCCCCGCTCTGCTTTGGGTGTGAGGGGTGAGCTCTGCTGCCCCAAGAGACGGGGCTTGCCTGGGGGGCTGCTCCCACCTGTGGTCCTCTACCCACTGGGGAATAGTCTCTCCAAGGTTCTTGGTCTTCCCAACAAGAGAGAACTTGACTTCCTTGCCACCTTCAGGGTGTTTCTCTAGGGATTACTGCTGCTGTCAGGCAATGCGCTGCTGCACCCTTTTATAGGGTGGGCAGAGATGTTGTGACTCTGAATTCAGGTGGAAAGCCTGCCCTGGAGAGCAGAGTCGTATGAGTGTCTTGAATCTTGGGCTAATACCTTACCTACTAGGATTCCCCCTTCCCATGGCTGTGCCTTCTGCTCAATAAATCAGCATCATATACTTCCAGCTGCATCAGAACAGCCTCTGGTCTCTGAGGTATGAGAAAGAAGCCCAGTCTTGTTGCTGCTCTCAACACCTCACTCCAGCAGTACCAACTGCCTGGCTGAGGGCATCAAAGGACTTAACTTGTATAAGATCCTTTCAACATAATATATGGTATCACTCATGAGGTATAATTACATGTACCAATTTCTTGTATGAGAAATTTGTGAATTGTGAATGCAGTGGAAAACTATGTGGTGGTGGTTTCTTCCTTTGTACCTGTGTTCTGTTCTCCACATCAGTGTGGAATTTTGGTCGCATGCTGAATGGGAAAAGGGGGAGATCCTGCGGCCAGAAGAGTTTGTTTCATTGTCTGGGATTGTGGGGGGTTGACCCTGGCTGGACACTGGGTGCCCACCAACGTGCTCTGTCTCTTCTCCTCAGCTGGGCAGGGGAGAGAAAACAGCAAAAGGACAGGGAGAGATCACCATCACAGGCAAAACGGACTCAACTTGGGGGAGGGGCTGTGGAATTTATTACCAATTGCATCAGAGTAGGATAATGAGAAGTAAAACCAAATCTTAAAAACACTTTCTCCTCACCCCTCCCTTCTTCCTGGGCTCAACTTCACTCCTCATTTCTCTTCTCTCCTCCCCCTGAGTGGTGCAGTGGGACAGGGAATGGGGGTTGTGGTCAGTTCTTCATATGTTGTCTCTGCTGCTCCTTCCTCCTCAGAGGGAGGACTCCTCACACTCTTCCCCTGCTCCAGGGTGGGGTCCTTCCCATGGGAGACAGTCCTCCACGAACTTCTCCAATGTGGGTCCTTCCCATGGGCTGCAGTTCTTCACGAACTGCTCCAGTGTGGGTCCCTTCCACGGGGTGCAGTCCTTCAGGAACAGACTGCTCCAGTGTGGGTCCCCCAGGGGGTCACAAGTCCTGCCAGCAAACCTGCTCCAGCGTGTGCTCCTCTCTCCATGGGTCCCCAGGTCCTGCCAGCAGCCTGCTCCAGTGTGGGCTTCCCACAGGGTCACAGCCTCCTTTGGGAACATGTAACTTAATTCCTCAGCCGTGGACTTACAGTGGTTGCTGGGCTACAACTTTAGTTTTATTTTCATGTAGTTTTTTTAACATAGTAAGAGAAAATGCTTACAAGTGAAAGACATCCTCTAGCTCTGTGACTTGTGCAACCTTTGCAGACTTGAGCTTTCACTTTTTGGCCTCTGTTCTATGGGTTATTATGGTTTTGCTGTTGGAATTCAATAAAGCTTTATGGACCTTATGTACGGTCCTGGGGGCTAGATCTCATATCCTCAAGTGGGGAGCTTGGTCTCTTTTGCAGGAATTAAATATCCTAAATTCATGAAGGTAAGGGAGAGGGGAAAGAGGAGGAACCTGGGCTGTGTTCCATTTTATTCAAAGTATTTAAAGGTAAGGCAGCAGCCACTGGACTTCCGGGTCTAGAGAGTGTCAGCGGGTAAGGTCTCATTCACTGCCAGAGAAGCAGTAAAGTCCTCTTCTGAAACTCAGAGCTTTGCCTTTATGGTTACCTAGAGCTGTTGCTCCACTTTGGGCTCACAGGGAGACAGAAAGAAAATCTACGTGTACCTAGAAAGATATAGCCTAGAACTGTCAGGGTCTTCAGCCACCCCTGTTTCCGGGGTGGTGGGAAATGCTGACCTTGAGCTGCTTCTCAAATCAGCAGGGTACATCTTACTGGACCACACTTTCTGCATACAGTGTTGCTCAGCTTCATCTAGGAGCAGCAGCCTCCTGAAGCCATTAGCCATCAGCGTCTTCATTTGTACATGGGGAAACTGAGGCAGCAATGCTGGATGACCAGCTAAGGTCATAGATAAGCTAGCAGTAAAAGTGGATCCTTCCAACTCCTTGTTCCTCCGCTTTAACCATGACCCTATACGCTTCCTTAGCTAAAGAGCAAAAAAACATAGTCATTAGCTATAGTTTTAGGTGTGGAAGATACAAGGAACAAGGTTAAAAGCCTTCCCAGTTTACGAAACCAGTATACTTGTGAATGATGATGGACTTCAATCAACATCACAATGACAGGACTATCTTCCTGTGCATCTGCTAGTGGTTTGCCAGCACTAGTGAGCAGGTACCCCTTTACAGCAACAAGAGTCTTCGAGAAAAGACTCGGGATCAAGTTTAGTTGTGGTTCTGTGCAAGATCCCGTAGGTAATGTACAGTTTCACTCTCTTGAACATTGTGAGGACCAAATCCAAAACATAATCCAGACTGACTTTGTCTATGAGGCTTTTTATCTGCTCAAATGTAGAGTAGTTGCACAGGCTTATACTGAGGAACGCTATGCTGACATTAGTGCTGCCATCTCGTGTGGGATTAAACATTTTCTCTAGTTTGCCAATTTTACGGGGTTTAAAAAAAAATGATTCTATTTATATTCTTGCTGAAACCCTAAAGCTTGTGAGAAATCTAACATGGGTTAAAATAAAACAAACATATGGGATATGCTTAAATGTGGTCATATCTCAAGTGATGGTGTTACCTGCAGAAATTGGAATGTACCTGCTTTTTTGAGACACTGATGGATTTCACGCGGATTGTTCCAACATGCACGTACCATGTGAGAAGAGCACTGAGTCAGCTTAGGCTGAGTCTTGGAGAAAAACATGTACAAAGATAATTGGTTTTCCTTCCAAACAGAAAGAGGGAAAGGAAAAAAAAAAAAAAAAAAGAAGGATGCATTAAAGCTTTAGTTTTGCGGTGCTGTGCTACAGGATGTATCCACAAAGCTAAACCATCTGGTCCACACAGGCATGCTGATCTCTCCATCCTGGTGAGATGAGCCTGTTACCTCCTGGCTGCCTCTCCCTCTGTGCCTTACATCACCCCGTGGAGAAAAGGTTAATCTCACTTAATTAGCGCCACACAACTCAGCCCTGGGTTTTGCTCCTCTCTGTGCGTTGCTGGCCTCAGCACAGCCGAGTCTTACAGATCCGTCCGCAACAAGATTTGCAAAGCAACCCATATTTTTTGGTGGTGGGGCGAGACCTGTGTGATACTTGATGAAAGTCACAGTAATTACGGATTAAGGCTATGTCCTCTTTTGTTTGGTTTTTGGAGGGTTTCATAGGTGTGGTTTACAGGACTGTCACTAGCTGTAGTGAACAGCTGATCTGACAGCTTTTAATAAAGAGACATTATGTTTACTAGAACCCTCCCAGGTTTCAGTACACCTTGGGGATAAAACTTTGCATCTTTCTGATACCTGGATCAATTTATTTCATGTCAGAGAGAAGGAAGAGAAGGAAGACAACTTAGCCTAATCTTATTTGTTCTAGCAATTTGATGTAAAAACGTCTTCCATAATTTATCAGGCATTGAAGCAATACATTAAATACAGAAATATTATATGCTTCTGTATATATTAATAAAGACGACAGGATTTAACAGCAATTTATCTACAAAAAATGTTAGTTTGCTTATATTTCATTTCCAATATTTAGCAGTCATCATTGTTAGATTTTACTTATCTAGCAATCAGACATATAATACAAGATACAGACTATGACACTGATATTTATTTGTTTAGGAGAAAAGATGTTCTCACTATTACTTAGTTTCCTGAGTTTTAGGTACAGTGGAAACGTGGATAAATAGACACGACCTGAACTAACTGTACATATTCTTCCTCATCCTGATATTTAAAGTGCCTACAAATCAATACACTTAGTACTCCTATAGTGTTGTTGTCATTCACTTTTTTAAAATACAGTTTAAAACCTATGGATTTACTATTGTCCTTATTAAACAGAAGATCATCCAGAACAGTGATACGTAAATCCTAGAAAGACCAGTTGGCTTGCTTTTTTTTTTTTTTTTAACTTTTGTATCAGACTAGGTTTAATATTTTTCAGAAGCTTATTCTTTAAAAAAAAAAAAAAAAAAAAAAAGCAGAAAGCAAGACTTCTGTCTCAGCGACCTGCAGCTCAAGTTTTTAGGCAATCCTACATCACCTTCCAGCATCGTGTCCTATGTACAACGGCAGCCCTTGCTCTCCCTCCCTCACTCCGTCCTCCTCTCGCGCCCCATGCCACCGTACTCTGGCAAAGAAGAAATTTTGCTGTTTTTTTTGTTTGTAGAGACCCTGAGCATGCCGAGGCGGGTGCTCCAGGTGGGGTCTATGCCCTCTTGACGCTGTTGAGGAGCTCCGTCAGTTCGCTGATGTACTTGATGGTGTACTTCAGGGTTTGTATTTTGGTGAGGGGCTGTCCCCTCTGGCTGTAGATGGGGGGCAGGTAGTTGCGCAGCGTGTGGAGCGCGTCGGCCAGGGTCCTCATCCGCAGCTTCTCCCTCTCGCTGGCCTTCCTCCTGCGCTGGGCGGACATCCGCACCTTGGTGCCCTTGGGCAGCCGAGCCTGCCCGGGGCTGGGCAGGTAGGCAGGGGGGAAGTCCACCAGGCTGTAGCCCACCAGGCTGTAGCCCACCAGGCTGCTGCCACCGCCGCTGCCGTAGGGGGTCTCTGCCGCTGCCGGGCAAGGGGACGAGGAGTAGGATTCGAAGGAGGGCGTCGGGGATAAGCTGTGCGGAGACGAGACAGGGTGCAGCTCAAAAGTCCCCGCAGTGTTTTTCCAGTCCCAGGACGATAAGCAGACAGAGTGCTCCGAACTCAAAGAGTCTTCCATGTTTATCAACGTCTCGTGCAATTTGTCCATGCTGGAGGAGCGCTGGGGAGAAGCAATGCCCTCTGCCCGCCAGCAAAGGCTGGAGCCGCCGGCTGCCGAGACCTTTTTATGATGGAGGGGGGAAAGTGACAGAGTGGGAACGTGGGTTTGGCAAGAGGAGTTCAAAGGAGCGCCACAAGTGCTAAGATGGAAAATGAACTCCTGATGTGCTAGTTTCTTCTCAGTGATAATTATCAACCTTCAGCTAAAAAGCCTTTAAGCTAACAGGCAACAGTGAGAAAGGAGGAAAAAAAGATTATCTTCTTGCAACTAAATCAATTAAGGCTGCGCATCTACATGTAACGTTGCGCTGGGGGGATAAGTGGTGAGAGAGGAAAAAGAAAATTAGCCATTTTACAAAACAATTTACAGACACAGAATTTAAACATAACGACCAATAACACAAACCCTACATTTAAGCCACTGAGCCCTGATTTCTGTGTAACTGGAGGTGATGGCACTAGAGCAGTGATGATTTGATCCGCACTGACTGCTGCTGAAAGAGTCTCTCGTTATCTGCAGCTTAATTGTGAAAGATAAATGAGGTTTATTTGGATTTGTGTGTGTGGTGGTTCTGTGGCTTTTTCTTCTCATGAGATCACAGCTTGTCTCTGGACCACTTTGGTTTTCAACAGGAGAAAGGAGGAAAGAATAGCACTGCATTCCCTGCAGTCTGTAGATCCATCTGTTATTTTAAATCATGACTGAGAAATGAAAAAAGGAAATCTGTAATTGTAAACAAAGTCAAAGTCCCATTTAAAAAAATAAAGAAAAAGAAAGAGGAAAATTTAATTTTTAAAAAAATGTCTAGGATATAAAATAAACAGTGTATAAACTTTATAAACCCTGAAAAATATCTTACATGGAAATTTAGTTCAAAGTAATATACAGATTAGTTGTGTGTAATAGAAGACCAGAAGCTACTTCTATAAAACTTTCTGCCTCTAGTAATCCATTCTTCAGCCAAGAAAAACCTTTTTCAGCCCTGATTCAACGCAACAGTGAAGTTATATGTTAGGCTGTTCAAGTGAAAACGTATATCCTATAAATTAATAGCATTAATAATGAGCGGTTTTCATCTCTAGGCTTCGGAACAGCTTACTGTGATGATTAATGATCTCTATTACTCTGGGGAAACGGATACGCAGAGGCAAGGAGCAACTTGCCCAAAATCACACAGCAAATCATTAGGGGAGCCAGGAAAACTGTCCAAAACTACTGAGGTCTGCAGCTCTACGGAGCAGCTCGGCTGCCAGCCATGACTTTGTATCGGCCCATAATGGAAGCAAAATCTAATATATAATGAAAAGAAGGGGAGACAGTGTGCCAACCTGGAGAAAAAAGAAAAACAGAATTTATTTTAGAGATTCCTTCTGTGTGCACCATAATCCACTCTGAAAAAAGGGGGGTAAACGCCTCTGAATGGCGCAGAGCTGAACCAAGTTGAGGCTTTCCGGAATAGATCATTTCTTTTTGATTGTGAAATCCTCACTACAACCACTCAAAAAAAACCACCCCACAACCCAATACTCCTCATAGTCATTAGGAAGGCTCTTGTGATTTTTTATGAGTTTGGGATCAACATGTTGGGAAGCAGCTTGTAGGAAGCTTACTGATTTTATGCTGAAAGGAATAAGAAAAAACCAAAAAGTGAAGGATTTTAGCATTTTAACCCAGGCTGAGAGAATTTCACCATGATGACATCTACCCCAGGCAGAAACTCCAGGCACAGCTCCCCACAGTCAGGCGTGCTTTGGAGTTTATGGTTACCCGACCACATTCTGAGCTCTGCTTTACTCCTTCTTTAAGGAAAATGAGCTGAAACAGTCTTAAGAATCACAAACACCTGCTACAAATTAAAATTAAGACAAGGTGAATGATGCGTATTTTCTGTGTCTTCAGTGAACTGAATGAGTTTCATTGACAACAGTCATAAGGCCACAAGTTAGACACAAGGTCTAATTTAGCATAAATAGGGGATTCATTTTTGTCCCAGTTAGTCTCCCTCCCACTCTTTTTCTTTTTTCCTTCCTGTATTTGTGTTTATAGTGCCTTTCCCATTTGACACGTCCCCTGCGCTTATTTTATGTCTTTCCCCTTTTATAAGGGGCAAATGTAAAATATAATTATAAGTCTACAAATGGACAAAAACGAGGAGGGGGAGGTGGAAGAGAAGGAATTTCTGTGTGCCAAGAAAAAGGAGCTTACAAGTATATTTATGTGTGTGTACATATATAAATATTTTAAAAACACGCATATTGAGTGCATAAATATAAAAACTGTTCAGCTCGGCAGTTTTGATATTGGAACCAAAGGTTAATTAAATGCAGTCAAATTTAGAGGCAAAAATTTGAACAAGTCACTTGTTTGCTGTCTGTAAATAATGCATGTTGCCAGTTAATTTATACCCCTAGTGTATGGGTAAATTATCAAAAATATTGCTGAGGTACCAAGAGGGGAAAAGATTTTGTGCATGTCCAAGATGGCATTGCTATAAATGACAGGTGTACACAGTCAGATTTCATCTCTGTATTCTGATATAAAGGGATCGGGATGAGATTAGGCAGGGAAAAGGAATGCCAATTATAGCAATAGCTGTATCTTTTCTTATATCTTATAGGTGAATATTTAGAGCGACCAGGGCAGGCTATTAGGGTGTGTGGACAACTGCTCAGGTTGCATGAAAAAATCACTGGGTCTTATAAACTTACTTATACTCTTATAAACTGTTACATGGGCAAGAAAAATTTAGAGGCTTTTCTACACTAGTAAATAATAAAGGGTTAATGCTGATACTTGCAAACTGCCTTGCAGTTGTGCATCCTGTTTCATTACCGTTGTGCACGCTGATGCTGGTTTAGCTTGGACCCACCTAGTTATGACCCAAACATTGCCTGCCTGTGGCTCAGGGGATGCCACCGAGGGCATAAGGGTGAGCAAAGCGTTTACCCATATGAAAGCAAGCTTTGCCATAACACGTGTCTTCAGAGCCAGAGAAGGGCCTGCGGCCCCGTTGGCTCTACTGGTATAGACGCAGCCAGAGGTTCAGTTTTGAAAAACAGCCACATATTTCTACCCACAGCTCCCAGGTTCCCAAAATGTACTCATACAAAGTGTGCGTCAGTTTTGGCCAAATTGGGAAGCTGTGTGAGGTCTCTCCACGATCCCTGTATGATCAACAGCCTATGTAAAGTCAATGGAGTCTCATAGTATTTAGCTGGTTTTGGATTAGTTAGTTTTGGATAGCACTATGTTTCAACCCACAGGTATGAGAATCCACAGTTAGGAAATTATGTCTCAAAGCAGGGACAATTATACCAGGCAAAAATGACTGGAAATGGTAGAACAGTTCAAGGTGGTGTTTTATAACAGGGCCTCGAGAAGTACCATACAGAGGAAGGCATGGCTACAGGCTGGTGTATTTTTCTATACCCTATGACTCTTTGATGCTCTCTCACTAAAGAGCTAAGAAAGTCTAGTATTTCAGGTAGCATCTTCCTAGAAAGTAAATCCATGCCAAAAAAAAAAAAAAAGAAAAAAAAAAAGGTGTTTGCAATCTTTATTTTACTCTACCTCTCACAAATTTTAGGAATTCCCTTTTTGTCTGTCAGTAATGTCAAAACATTAGAGGGCAGTGAGATATGAGGCTAACACCAATGAAATACGAACTGACACTTAATAAATGATAAGACATTTTCTGCTTGACTGATAGTTTTGATTTTCATTTCAGAAATTTATTCTGCAATATAAAGGCTAACGTCTCAATCTTCATCTCCTTTAAAATGAAAGGATCCCTGCTTATATTTCTGAATTCATTATGGAAGGGAGGAGAAGCATGGACGCATGGAAGAAGCAAAAATTTTTCCATTTTAAAAAGAAAAGACATGGAATAGAAAACTTTTAGAGCTTCCATATGTGCCTGATTCAGATTTTAAATTTAAAATAAGTTGTCCAAATAATTGCTGTGATCCACGAGTGTGGTAGATAAATGCGCTTTTTGTGTACAGTTATTTAAGGACTGATCTACTTTTTTTTTTCCCCTACATTAAAGTGTATTTCCACCAAACTGTGAGTTTGGTAGGAGAAACAAGCTAGCAACAATAAGTAAAAAATCATATCGGATGGGAAGAAAGCAGGCTGAAACTGAATAAACATGGATAAATGTGTTTCAACACCACTAATCCCATAACAGTCAGCCTCCTTCACAATTAGGACAGAAGCCCAGTCTTATTTACTGACAAGAAGCAGATCATACTAATATCCTTGTAGAGCACTTAGACGGTAAAGCCTCATCTTGCAGTTTGTACCGTGAAAAAAATATCTAACTCCCAAAAGCTTTTAAAGTCATTTCATCTCTTATTTAACAAGAGGTTTCCCGAGTATTCGCTGCTACGCCGCCCACTCACTGCGGAGGTGGCTGCTGCCATCCTGCTTTACAGAGGCGTAGAGGAGGAGGCAATCGCCCGTATATAAAACATGGGGTGAGCAGCTGCAGGTCTCACTAACTTCAGCAGACGCAGCAGGTGTTCAACACTTCTGAAAAATAGTGTTGAACACCTCAGTTTATGCCCAAGCTGGCAATAAAGGAAGGAAAGGATCTACCACATTTGTCATCCAGAGTCACATTAGCCACCAGACGATGCTTCTCTCCTTTTTAAGACTTTTCCTCAATTTGGATAGGTCCTTTTTTTTTTTTTTTAATTAGTAGATTTTGCAGCTTTTTCCTAGATGTAGAAGATGGTTAAACCTGTGTCTAACCTCGACTGAAATAAATAAGACTTCTAAGTAAGCAAGCAGGTCAACTAATACAGGCTTTTTTTTTTTTTTTTTTTTTTTTTGTTGAAGTCAATATGCCAAACAATAGGGATGAATAGCCAGCTACTACTCCCAGAAGGAAAGAAGCCAGTAATAGAAACAGGACTAATCCTGGGTCCAGCTCTGTGAAAGGAAGCCCAAAACCCTTACTATAATCAATGAAAACCATATGTAAA